TGGGATTTCCTTAAGACAGAAACCATGCATCTCTTTCATTTCCCACAGTGACCAACACAGACACTTGATGGGACATGAGAACTGATGAGGGCTATTGTCCAGCTCTGAGAGCATAGGGTTCCCTTCTTTATGGATTATCCTATTCCATTTGTCTTTAGAACTAGGGTAGGTTCATTTGCTGATTACACTTTGAATATCTTTGGAAGGCAAGGTCACTGATAGGTCCACTAAAGTGCTTTTCTTCCATTTTCATCTACTTTGATCCCAAGACTCAGAATAATTATTTTAGTGCATTGTATTCAAGGACCATACAGGGAAAGAACCAACCAGAGATTATTGAATGAAGTACTTAACCGTGTCTATGCTTTTGGATTTCTTTAAATTGTCTGCTCTTTCAAAAATGTTGCACTAATGCTACTTAATATTCTTAGCTGCTTAAATGTGATTTGGTGCTTTGAGACTTTAGATAATATATATTTGAATGTAAATGCTTGCTCATTTTTACCAACTTAGCTTACAGAAAGTCTGGCATTTCAGATAATGAGGCCATAAAGCAGACCACTAACAGAGCAGTCACAGCTGCTAACTAAACCACAGACACTTGAGTACTCTTCTACCAAGTAATAGTAAATATCTCAGGACAATTTAACAGTACTAGATTCTATTCCACCACCTGCACAGATATGAACACATCTATCCCCTGATAGCTATGCTATTACAGGCAGCAACTCTGTCTTACGCTTGTTTATACTGTGGATGACATTCAATGTGTCACAAAAAAATATGTAAGTGCCTCTTAAAACCTGCTGTTTGGTGAGTTTCTAAGGCAAATTGAGTCAATTATTTACCAGGACCGGGAGGGGTCCCAGCAGTGCCCAGTCTTCTGTTTGTTCACACGCAACTTCGGCAGCTTGGACTAGAAAGACCTCTGGCTCTGGTTCACCCCTACCCCTAGAGCTCAGCTAGCACATGTTGGGTGCCTCCTTAGTGAGGAGGCAGGACTGGTGCCTTTCTGGGGCAGCTCAGCTGGTAGATAGGCTATTCAAAGAGTGCCATCTGCAGGATGAGCTGAGGACTCATACTTAATTCATATCTTCCAAATAACATTTAGAGAATTGGCTTAAGATGTATTCAACTTATTAAGCACAAAATTTAAGTTAAATGGCAGATAACAGACTGCTGCAATAATTCTGCACATGTCATTTATATCTAATTTAATAGCTGTCTTAAAGATCTTTACCTCAAAGATCACACAGGTTCCCCACTATCCCAAGACTGGAGATCTGCTTGTTCAGGGGCTTCCCACCAACCCCTCTCTGGTTGGTGATCATTTCCTCCGCTTGACGGCTTGCTCTCTCACAGAAAGGCAGATTCCCAGGAGCAGAGACAGCTGCAATAGCTCTCTCTCTGCTTTGATTCAAGACAGGGCTTTGAACCTAAATGCAGAGAACTAGTGCTCAGAACTCCTTTCTCATATTGACCTCAAGAATCATAAAATGCTAATGTTGAAACAGGCTCCTTCACTGAGTCAGGACTCTCTACAATATTGCTCAAAAGCAGCCCCCAGCCTCCTTCTGCACAACACACACGACTACATCTCAACAACTGCAACCCTAAGCAACAAGGAACAAGTGTCCATACGTTGGCTCTCTGTCATTGTGCTAGAATTTTCTGATTCTTGATTAAATCCACTCCTCTTCTCCCAGTGGCCTTTGAGTAATGGAGAGCAGCAGCAAGAGAGAAAGAGAAGAGCCCTTTCCAGCCTGACCAGGCCGTGTTCTTTTTTCCCAACATTTATTTAATAAATGTAAATTTCCAAAGTACAACTTTTGGATTATAGCACCTTTTCCCCCATAACCTCCCTCCCACCTGCAACCATCCCATCTCCCACTCCCTCTCCCATCCCATTTACATCAAGATTCATTTTCAATTATCTTTATATACAGAAGATCAACTTAGTATATACTAAGTAAAGATTTCAACAGACTGCACCCACACAGACACACAAAGTATAGAGTACTGTTTGAGTAGTAGCTTTACTGTTAATTTGCATAGTACAACACATTAAGGACAGAGATCCTACGTGGGGAATAGGTACACAGTGACTTCCGTTGTTAACAATTGACACTCTTATTGATGACGTCAGTAATCACCCAAGGCTCTTGTCACAAGCTGCCAAGGTTATGGAAGCCTCTTGAGTGAGTTCACCAACTCTGATCTTACTTAGACAAGACCATAGTCAAAGTGGAAGTTCTCTCCTCCCTTCAGAGAAAGGTACCTCCTTCTTTGATGGCCTGTTCTTTCCACTGGGATCTCACTCACAGAGATCTGTCATTTAGGTCAGTTATTTATTTATTTATTTATTTATTTTGCCACAGTGTCTTGGCTTTCCATGCCTGAGAAATTCTCATGGGCTTTTTAGCCAGATCTGAATGCCTAAAGGGCTGATTCTGAGCAGGCCACGTTCTTACCATCTGGGTATACCATTGTGCTGCACACAACAACGCAGGTCTCAGGCAGGCTGCTACTGACAGTCACTCTCCCTTCACTGTGGTTAGGGGTGGGTGGAACAATAATTTCACAGTGCTGGGCAGCTCCCAGCAGAGCTACTGGCAAGCTGGATGACTTGGGCACACTGAAGAGCCTCAAGGCTGTCTTCTACGAAACAAGCCTGGCACCATTATTATTCGGAGTGGCAGGAGACAAAATATAGGCTGGAGCCACAAAGTTTCCAAAATGTGTCCCTTCTTTCTTTAGTATGAATGTTAGCTGTGTCTCCATGGCTAAATGAAAGGCATTGTTCCATGTGAGTGGAATAGAGAAGGTGGAGGGCTGTTGGGCAAAGCAGGTTGGAGTGGCCAAGATGTTTGCTTGGCTGTAACAACAGACAAAAGCTATTGGTCCCTCATGGGCCTAGAACCAAGGCTGGTGATGCCCATGAGGCTACAACAGGAAAAAAGCTTGGAGGGATGAGCTGGGTCAGGGATGTGGATGGCTTTGGAGAAGTCCTCCTAGCTGCAGAGGGACTGAACCACAGGACAGCTTGGAGGCAGAAGCACCAAAGCTATGGGACAGTTGTGCACCAAGCGATCATCCCAGGCACCACAGCCCCACTCCCAGCAGACAGAAGATGCTCCCATCCTCTGCGCTTAGCATGCTGGAGAGGCACCTAGGGTACATGGCTACCTATATTTGTTAGATTTGGGCTTCTTCTCATCCTTTAGAGGAAATATTGGGCCCTATGTCTATACCATGTGGCAAAGTCCAGCTCATTCTGCAGAAGGTGCTTATATGGCTATGCGATGTCCTTTTTTATTGTGGTAAAACATGCACAACATAAAACCATTTTAACTATTTTTAAGTGTGCAACTCTGTGGCATCAATTAGCTTCACACTGCTGTGCAAGCATCACTAGCATCTACCTCCCAAATTCTTCACCTTACAAACCTGAAACTCTGTACCCATTAAACAATAACTCCCCATTTTCTCCTCCCCCTAACCCCTGACAATCACCATTCAATTTCTCTATATATACAAATTTGGCTACTCTTGGTACTCTCAGTATAAAGGGAATCATAATATTTGTTCTCTTCTGGCTGGTTTCTTTCACTTAGCATGTCTTCAAGGTTCACCCATGCTGTAGCTCATGTTAGAATTCCCCTCCTTTTTAAGGCTGAATAATATTCCATTGTATGGGTATGCCACATTTTGTTCAACCATCAGTGGATACTGGGGTTGCTTTTACCTTTTGGCTATTATGAATTAAGCTGCTATGAACATGGGTATACAAATATCTGTTCAAGTCTTTTCCATTCTTTTGGGAATAAACCCAGAAGTAGCATTGCTGAATGTTACAGTAATCCTGTTTTTGGCTTTTTGAGGAATCTTCTCACCACTTTTCACTGCACCATCTTATTTTCCCAGCAGCAATCTTTATGGGTTCCATAGGAGGCTTTCTTTACTCCACAGGTAGAGTCCAATCCACCCTCATCCCCTGGGTGTGGGTCACTGCTGATGGTCTTTCTGGCTCCCATAAATCCCCTAAAGATGTGTCTATGCACCACAAATTTTTATGTCCTCATTTTGTTCTTGGCAGGTCTTTTCTTTTTGAACCCATGGCACACCCTTGTCCGGGGCAGGTTGCCTTCTGGGGTGGGGGCTGGGACTGTGAACAAGGCCCAGAGTGATAACTATATTGAGGGCTGCCTGCATGGTGGGATCAGAGCCAGCCCTGGCCAACACTGTCACATGGCACCTACCCCTCTGTCATATGGATTCCCTCCCGGCTTTATCCTTAAGAGTTTTATAGTCAACTGACACTAATAACACCTGACAAAACTACTGGATAGCAGTATTTCAACTGGAAGACAAAGATTTTTCAGGGTCCATTTGGAAAACTCTCCCAGAGAGAAATATAACAGAGTTAGACTAAGCTTTTTTCAGGTGGAGGCTCTTAACAAAAACCCTTTTATATAATTTTATCATTAGACAAATGGTCAGAACTCCTTATCCAGAATCTATGCAGATCAGAAAATGATGCCCTTTTGGATTGGGTATACAGCTCAGCTCAAAGATTGAATGTTGTGCAAATTTTATCAAGGCAGTCTCTGGGTACATTTAACCCTGTGGGTACATGCCTGGTGAATGGGTGCCATCTCTTTCTCCAGGTCCTAGAAAGTAAACAGCATGCAAGCAGAGCTGGGGCTCATTTTCAGCTTCCAGCCCCTGGTGGTTACAACCATAAGTGATAGCCCTGGGTTGATGATAGCGCTAATGTCATTCTCTCTCACCACTGCCACCTTGTGGACAAGGCATTTTTGGCTCATGTTGACAGGAAGATTTTCTTTGAAGACCATAAACTTGGGAATCTGTGTATCACTCATTTAGTGATTTAAGAGAAGACAAATGTCTCTTCGCAATACAGCCCAGCAGTCACAAGATATCAATCCAATATGTCATGGCCATCCTCCCCCCCCCCCCCCCCATACATAGCATCTTACCTGAGCCACCTCTTCAAAGTCATCATGCCTCTTCTGCAGGGCTCGGGCTCGATGCAGGGACTTCCCAACCCCAGTGTGTTTGCTCAGAAAGGCCTCGCCATGGTTTTCAATCCAGTCCAGCACCTGGCAGGAGAGGGAAGACAAAAACAATGACTTCCAGGCAGAAGATATGCAACATGTACAAATGCAAGCATCCTGTCCCTCCCCTACATTGCAATCACTGAACAGCAGTCCAGGTGGAAATGTCCAACCCATTGTGAATACAAGAGATTCCATTATTGTCTCTGCATGATCAAAGTCCCACCCTTAACTAAATCTGACTCACGCCCTTTAATCTCCTGCATGATCTCCTAGTACTTTTCCAGTTTTCTTTGTCTTAATTGTCTTACAAGTTCATTATTTCAAACAAGATACACAGACTATCATTCCCCCTTTACTACCTGTACAACAGCCATATAAAATCAGACATGTTGCCAGGAATTAGGTTAGTGGCAGGCCAGGCAGTGCAATGGCCCTTACCATTCACCATGCACTTTACTGTACAAATGCTCAAGAAGGGGTGACCAGTCTTGGGATCCTGACTCATCATGCCCCTGGGACTCTCTTCTTAATCGTAGGAGCAAAGTCCAGAGTAGTCAATCCCAAAGTGGGTGGTTGAGATAGCCCATCACTGGGACAACAGCCTCCTCTGGCTTCTTACTACTCTCCTTCAACTAGCAACACCAACCAACCAAACTAAGGTCTTTTCATCCAAAGGCCTTTAGTATCTATGATTCTCTTGGGAAGCAGTAGAGACTTCATGTTTTTCCTGGGTTAATGTGGTGGGATGAGGTGAAAAGGTCATATCAAGATGACCGCTGAAGTGAAAAGTTCATGCCAAGATGGCCACTGAGGTGAAAAGGTCATGCCAAGATGGCCACTGACAACAGAAACTGCCTGGCAACAGGCCGTGATTGGATGGCTTCAGAAACCACATAACAGAGGAAACCACATGACAACAGAGCCTGACTGACGGCAGGCCATGATTGGTTGGTCTCAGAAACTGCCTGGCAACAAGAGCCTGACTGGCAACAGGCTGTGATTGGATGGCTTTGGAAACTGCCTGGCAACAGGCTGTGATTGGTTGGGGAATAAACTGCCCCTTGACCGGATTGGCTGGTCTTGACTATATAAGCTATTGTACCAACTGAAATAAACGAGTCTGCAGGCTCCTCGCCTCAAGCCCACTTTCACTGACTCCCGGGGTCTGTGTGGTGACTCCATGCCTCTTGCCCCCACCACGCTCCTCCTCTCAGAAACGAATCCACTGCAACATTGTTGAGAAATCAACTGCAACAGATTAACATCTATCTAGTGATTTGGCCTGAAGACATTTTCCTTGATGTTTAGAGAATTTGGAACAGAAGTAAATGGGGCAGGAGAGGGATGAGTGGAGGATGCTGACAAAGTGAGAGCATAATGTTTTCCTGAGGGGAACTTGAGAGGCAGAGTGGAAACCCCTTAGTAAGAGCCCTGAAATGCAGGGTGGACCAAAGCCTTTAATGTCCATTTTGTATTCTTGCAGGTGGCTTAACATAAATGAGTGCATTTGAGGGGGATGGGGAGCAGTTTATCCTTTGATCTTTGAAGAGCTGGCACTCAATAAATCAGTGGTCACAATTAAATCAGAATTACAGCATGGACAACCCTGTTATAGATCCTCCCGTGACTCAGATGAGCCTACTCCACTCCTGCTACACTAATCATTAGCTAAACAGAGTCCAAAAGCACATTTTGGAAAATGGCTTAGATGAATGAGGTTTGATTAAAAGAGCATTTTAATTTATCTTGGTTTTTTTTGTTTGTTTGTTTTTTATCATAGGTTTGCCCTGTAGTAAGCGGAGGTAGAGCAACCCAATCACTCCACAAACTGCAGGCATGGGAGTTCTCACTCGAGGAAATCCACTCACTTCCTGGGACATTTGGGGTATGTTCATGCCTGTAGTGTTCAAAGTATGGACATCTCCAGAGTCTCTGATGAAAGTATCATAAAGCCCACACCAAAACAGTGGTATTCAGAGAAAGATGCCCAGGAACATAAAAATGAGTTTAACAAACATCCACTTAGTTTAAATTGAAGGCCAGGTACTTGTCTATTACAATGAAGAAAATAAGTCTTTTCTGCAAAATGTTTATCTAAACATTATGCATGGGGATTTTAAACACTATATATACTGTTATGCAATATTTATTTTAAAAATATTCTGAAGGCACACTTATGAAAAGAAATTATATTAAGATTGGAATTTTATCTTTTGCAAACTCTGAAAGGCAGCAAGAACTCAAAATGTTCCTTTTGCATGATTTTAGAATTACTTAAGATGAAATTTCAACCAAAATAATCAAGAGAGTATATTTTTACTTGGCTTGCCACAAGTAGATCCCAGAGTTCTGTGTCATAAAAAAGGATTATGAGCATGTGATTTCAAACATAAATATCTTTGGTCACAAAGTTTCCCATATACTGTGTACCAACTGTAGTGATGTTTTAGAATTTTTACTTAATATTTTATTAATCCTTTTTGAGAATGAACTGAGATTGTATCTTTTAAGATTTATTTATTTATTTGAGAGGCAGAGATATCAATCATCCACTGGTTCACTATCCAAACTCCTGCAACAGCTGGGAGCCAGGACTTCAATCTATGTCTCTCACATGGATGGCAGGGACCCAACTACTTAAGCCATCACCGCTGCCTCCCAGGGTGTGCACTAGCAGAAACTTAGAAGAGGGAGCCTGGAGTGGAACCCAGGAATTCTGACATGGACATCCCAATCTGCATTTTAACCACTAGGACAAATGTTCATCCCTGAATTGAAGTATTAAGATAATATTCTGTACATAAAAGAGCTGCCTTATAACCTTTCAAAAATGATTAGGAATTTACAACAGATTGTTCATACTATAACTTTTATTACTATTTAGTTTCAAGCAATTAAGTGTGAACTGCTTATCTGGCAACATTTCCATGCATTTTATTTCATTTTTAGCTCAAGATTTAAGGAAATTGGTTATTCTAAAGTATATTGGTTTGAAAAAGGATATTTTTCATCCACTTGTTCATACCTGGTAAGTTTTTGCACTACATGAAGTGATATCACAACTTTCAATACTATTCGAAAAGCCTTTTGCTTCTTTTTAATTTTGTTTTCTTTAACATTTCAATTATTTTCATTTAGCAACACTCAGCTTACTTAATTAGCTATGCCTTCACCACTTACAAACCTATTTATTTCATATTTTACTTGGTTTAAACACAACCGTGATTGTTTTATGAAGTTATGTTGCCAATGTTTAGTCCAATCTTTGCCAGCAGAATTGAAGCTGTGGGGAAAACATGCACAACCTCGAACGGGACTCAGGGACTGTGTGGAAATCAATTTAACAAGTAAAAATAGCAAATCATTTAAGAAGTGAGTAAATTTTCTTTAGTAAGACATAAAGACTGAAAAGGTACCCGAGGAGAGAGCCACAGAATCACTGAGGAATTGTGGAAATGCTGTATTCTGACTACCTTGTTTTGGATGGTTCATCTACTGGTAGAGCCTTGTTGCCTGAGGCACACACTTAGGCCACCTCCTCTCCTGACCCTGTTTCCAGATTCTCCAACCCTGGAGTACAACCCAGCTCCCCAGATAGATTCTGCAGGGCAGGGAAATGTACTTCTGTGCCTGGCAATGACCTGAACATACAGTCATGTGCAGCCTTGGAATTCTCAGTATCTGTCAGTTTCTGGTGAGCAGGTTAATGTGAGCCAGGATTCAGAATCTGCATATCACTGGCTGAAGAATAAATTAACTTTCTAGTCAGCTCTTGAACCCTATGTAAGCACAAGTACCCATCAAAGAATGCTTTGTAATGTTTTCCTGTTTAGTTCTCACATCTACAAGATTATACTTAACATACTCAATTACCAGTTATAGTCAGAGTAGTACAAGATGATAGCTATTCATATACCTACTGATGGCTTTGAGTTGGCATTTAAGCATTTCCAACAGTGGAGGTCTTGTTTTTTTGTTTTTGTCTAAGGGTTCTTGGGCAGTAAAGAAGCATGTGTGGAATGTGAATATTCACATATTCATATATTTATTTATTACTCTTCTTGCACCCTAGTGTCAGTCCTTACTACAGCCCATGGGGGTGGGGTGCAGCAGAAAACAGGCAGATGTGGCCTTGACTCGGAGACCTGCCTATGAGGATAACAAGCACTGTCATCCAAACAAGTCATTATTAATTGCAAAGGTGAAAAATGAGGTCTAGGTGAGACTGAGAGACAGTAGGATTTAAGGAAAGTTAGATACTGAAAAGATTAGCATGGCCTGAGCAGAATGTAAGTAGGAAATGGGCCTGGAGATGGCAGGCCCCAGATCAGGGCGAGCCCTTGCGTACAAATGAGAGATTCCAGCATTCCTCCTAAGAGCCACAGGAGGGTTGTAAGGAGGAGAAGGAGATCATCGAATCTGTATTTAATACACATGCTCTGACTGCTTTATGGAGAATCAATGAGGAAAGGAAGCATGGGTGAAAAAGGAGGCTGCAGAAATTCTGAGAACAGGTGATGGTGGCTCAGACAAGGCCAGATTGGGGAAAGAGCTATGAGGATTCAGTGATTGGGTGTGCTAGTGAGAGAGAGGCAGGTGGCAAGGCTGATGCCCAGGCACATGGTTTGAATGACTGGGCAGGAGGTGGAGCCTGTTGCTGGTACAGAAGCAAATGAGTTATGAGAAGTGCCAGGGATGACAGATTTTTCTTAAGATTTCTTTCTCTTTTCATACTCATGCTCCGGTTTTCATAAATAATGGTTGTGCCTCTATACTTGAATGGGAAGTAACTCTCAATGATAGTTGTCAATCTGATCATGGCAAGATGTGCCTTTGATTTCAAAGAAGTAATTTATATACTGAGGTTTAAAAATAAACTATAGGGGCTGGCATTGTGGCCTAGGGGGTAAAGCTGCTGCCTGAAGTGCCAGCAATCCCATATGGGCACCAGTTACCTAGCTGCTCCACTTATGATCCAGCTCTCTGCTATGGCCTAGGAAAGCACTAGAAAATGACCCAAGTCTTTGGGCCCCTGCACCTGC